CAGCCATAAGAGACTGTGACAGAGCCATCAGCATCAATCCAGACTCTGCACAGCCTTACAAGTGGAGGGGGAAAGCTCACAGGTACGAGAGAGCTTCTGCTGCACAGGCAACATAGCCAAACTCTCATTCCAAACTTCCGCAAAAGCATCATTCAGGCCTGAATTACTCCCCTAAATGGGCTGGTCAGTGCTCATGATGTTTGCAGTGATAAGACATGCTTTTATTTTGAAGGCGAATATTGTCCATTTCTGGTTCATGTCACACTTTTTCAGCTTTCACAACCAGTCGGAGAGTAAAATTTTAAAGTTTGCAGACAAGTTGATGTCTTCCATGCAAACTACATGTGACAAGGTTTTTTGGTACAGCACCCTCTTTTACCTAGCAACAGCCAGCAGCCCTCAGCAACCACCAATCACCAAACAGATGGAGGAATGTGCATTTTCCCTCTTGGCCTGTGTGAATGGGGCCTTAAAAATGCTCCAAATAGCACCAACAACAGACAAAAACACTTCAGTGAGTCAGATTAAGGGAGGTGATGTTAAGCAGATCTCTGTCAGCTCTGCTTCACTGTATTCAATTAGTTCAGTTCGGTTTTATTTATTTAAAAAAAAAACTTGTTGGGGGTGAAGGAAAAGGAAAAAAAGGAGTGCATAGGGAGATGACGACAAATGAAAGTAGAGAAAATGTAATGTTGCCCAGTAGTGGCTTCTTAACTAAAGGATATTTCAGAGGGTGTCTGTCTCTTGAATCCAAACTGGGGCCTCAAAGCTGAAGGCTCTGCCTCCCATTCTACTTCTAGAAACCACAAGTAAGCCTGCAGTGTGAGAGTGAAGTGCTCTATGAGAGTAACAGGATGATTTGATGAGGACTGATTGATCAGGGTTTTATATGTGAGGAAAAAGATTGTAAATTCAATTATGGATTTAGCAGTGAGTCAGAGAAGAGAAGCTAATGTGGGAGAAATTTGATCTCTGTGTCTAGTCTCTGTTGGTGCTACAGGTGCAGCATTTTGGATCAACTGAAGGCTTTTTAGGAGCTTTTAGAAATACCTTTAACTCAAGCAGCCATATAAGTCCTAAAGAGATTAAATATGTGAGTTATTAAAGTTCTGAAGAAGGTAACTGGAAATGGAAACCAAATATTGTCAGTAAATTGATGTTTGTCCTGCTGCAGGCTGCTGGGACACTGGGAGGAGGCAGCCAGGGACCTGGCCACAGCCTGTAAACTGGACTATGATGAGGATGCCAGTGCAATGCTGAAGGAGGTCCAGCCAAAGGTAATAGTGAAGTGAACAGAAAGATTAAAAAACGCTTTGCCACAGTTTCATTTTTTTGGTGGGAACAGTAATGCAGGTAGTTCAATATGTAGAAGGTTGCAGTTAAACAGCAAAGTCCTGATCTGTTTACACGATCTTAATGCAGATGAACTCTTTGTAATTTTCAGGCCAACAAAATCATAGAGCACAGACGCAAATATGAGCGCAAGAGAGAAGAGAAGGAGATCAAAGAGAAGCAAGACCGGATAAAGAAAGCCAGAGAGGAGCACGCACGGGCTCAGAGGGTGAGTTGCTGGGAGGAATTCCACAGATTTTCCAGGAGTGAAAAAATCCAAAAACTGTATGACACTGATGAATGTCTCATTCATTGTTTTGCAACAGGAAGAGGAAGCACGACAGGCTGGAGGAGGATTCTTCCCAGGTAGGAGAGCAAAAGCAACTCATTTTACTGCCGAATGCCTTATGATGGAGTCCCATAATTTATACTCCTGTAAACACTGATTGTTTTATTGATCATCCCGTGTCTGCAACGTCCAGGGTGAGAACAATGTGTGAAGCTGTGTGTTCATGTCAGGGTTCTGTTATGCATCCATTTATTAGACACATAAGTGCAAGTATAAGTCTAATCATTGCTTGGCAGGTCCGGGTGGATTCCCAGGCGGATTCCCAGGTGGAGCCGGAGCTGGTCCCGGCATGGCTGGTCTAGGTGAACTCCTGAAAGATCCTGAGCTGCTTAATGCCATGAAGGTGACTAACTCTGTCCTCCACATCACAGCTGTCCCATGGTTAGGGTTGGTTATTTTAACACGTAACACGGTGCTGAGGAGAGTCTTGTAGACAGGACGGCTAATAGAACAATTTTGATGCGCACACTTAGACCAGGGAGCTTCAGGAGTGGGTTGGTTGTTTTTCCACACAGTAACAAATGATTATTTTAGCCTTTAGGGCAGCATGGAGATGAATTTAGTTGTTGTTCTAATTTTTACTCACTGACAAAGCTGTCTGCACAGTGTAGCCAGCACCTCAATAAAGGCAGATACCTAGAAACTGTATTTCTACTTGGTTTAGGAAAAATTCTCATCGTTTTGACATTTAAAAATCATTGATGTCACCTTTAACATTATGTCAGCAGCTATTCTCCACCGTGAACTATGTTAAAAACAAACACTGCTCACGCCTCACAGATGACAGCTTACTGTCCTGCGTAAAGATGAAAGTGACTTCGTACAGCCCCGATTTGCAGATGCTGTGTGCAGAGGTTCAGGAGCAGAAGTCCCATTGTAAACATATCACGGCAGACCTGACGATGTTTGCATGAACACGCTTTTCAGCTTCTCTTTATTGACCACTTTTCACTCACGGTTGCTTTACGCATACAGCCGCCTGTAGCTTTGCAGCTCACAGCCCGACACACACCAACACAACAGCATAGATGGCACAGACGTTAAGGCGGCGAGGCGTGATTGCGTGTGCCGCTCAGGTGTGTCCGCCTCCCCTGCAGTGGCGCTGCAGACCACGCCCCGCCAGACACATTAACCGGGTAAAATACATATTTAGGCAGAATTTTGCAAATATCTATTTTTCTTTTTTAGCAGCATAGTACTTTTTTTCCAGTTATTTTTTTAAAAGTCAGGTCAAGGATCCAAAAGCCCAAATAAGGGTGGCGGCTCACAACAGTGTTTGTTTGCTGAATCATTTTAGTTCAGCTGGGTGTCTTTCCTTTTGTTATATTTCTTTAAGAGTTCAAAATGTGTTAATTACATAAATAAAATGTAATTTTCTCTGTAACACTTCATGGATTTCATAAGCAACACACCTTAGTTGTTCACACAAAGCATAAAGGTAAAAAACAATATATACAGTGTTATCTTCATTTTAGATGTCAAAAAGTATTTGCTGCTCCCAGTGTTTTCGTTTTCATGGAAACCGGGTTCAAATGGCTCTTTGGGTGTTAAAGGTTGCTGACCCCTGGTCTAGTCAGCCGATCACATGGCAGCAGCCTTTAGGCATGTAGACATGATCCAGATGACAAACTGAAGTTCAGACTGAGCAACATACTGGTGATTTAAGTGGCTTTCAATACAACATTGTTCTTGGTGCCAGACAGGCTGGTGTGTCTGGATTTAAATCAAGTTCTTATGCTGAACAGTACATAAATCGGGGTAGGCAACTCCAGGCCTCAAGTGCCAGTGTCCTGCAGGTTTTAGATGTGTCCTTGATCCAACACAGCTGATTCAAATGGCTAAATTACCTCCTCAACATGTCTTGAAGTTCTCCAGAGGCCTGGTAATGAACTAATCATTTGATTTAGGTGTATTGACCCAGGGTGAGATCTAAAACCTGCAGGACACTGGCAATTGAGGCCTGGAGTTGCCTACTCCTGACATAAATCATTCAGCCACACATGGCTGTTATACATTGTTGAATCAGTAAGACCACCATATGACCTATGGTTAAAAAAAAACAAAAAAACATCCAACAGTTTTTGTTAAGCTGATTTGGAAATGCCCTGGGTGAGCAAAGTTGACCCCATTTTTGTCCAATATCCAACTCCAGGACCCTGAGGTGATGGCCGCCTTCCAGGATGTCGCCCAGAACCCGGCCAACATCTCCAAGTATCAGAACAACCCCAAAATCATGGCCCTCGTCACCAAGCTGAGCTCTAAATTTGGAGCTCCTCCACAGCCATAGACAGGACGGGACCGAAATGGGAGAGAAGAACGAGTGGATATGTGGTGAAACAATCTGGAGAGCAAAGCTTTTCAACAATTATTCACTGTGTGTAGTTCAAACAGGGGAGCAGGTGACGGGTTATCTGGCATGGTGTAGAGGAAGATTGGCAATTTCTTTTTTTTTTTTTAATGTTCTTAATCAACCTGTTAGCACTTAGCAACATGTCAACAAAGCAGCCCGGTGGTTAGGAGTCAGGTCTGATACTTATACACCCCGTCCAGCACATCTCAGCTGGGAATTCACTTAAACCACAGGTTGACGTTTTCTAACCTGCGTCATGAACAGCCAAACCGGGAGCCTCCTGCATTAAGACGCTAGCTTAGAAACATTTCTACCGCTGTTTAATACTCACTATGATTTAGCTACTGGTTTCTTTCTTTCTGTGGACGGAGCTGAACTCTCACACCACTGTGGGCCCTTCTTGTTATCAGACGTATTATTATAAAAAGTATTGAACATGTTTGACCCTGTTGGAAAAATTCACAAAAATAAAAGCTCTGTTCCTGCAAATCAGGTTTGATCTGCATTTCTAGTTCTGTTTCCCGTTAAATGTCATGTGTAAAAGAGTTCACTCATTTTTATTTTGACTTCAGTTTTCCTGTGATAATTAAACTGGAAAGAATGATCAGAAAACTCGACTCATCTTTAAACCTGTCATAATCATTGCCTCAATCTGTTTACAAACACATCAGCTGGTTCCAAATGTGGGTCTTTAAAGGTACTTTGATAAATCCGGCCTGGTGGGAGAGTGGGCCACCAGCTACTTAATCCATCCACAACATCTGTCTTTCAGCCAGAGGATTACCACTCTAACACGCAGCCGGCTGGGCTCTTATCAAAGCAGATCTGACTGAGCACTGTCCTGTCACAGCAGACGGCTGATTTGTCCTTTGGATCTCCTTCATTAACTCAGTCTTTTGCCCACAACCCCTGAAAATGTGCTGCTTGTCCCTTCCTCTTTAAAATTCCGACAACACAAGTCACACAAGCTGTATTTTTCACAAGATTCCTGTTTATTTCTGTACTTACAATATACCAGAACAAAATACATGAGAAACAGCTTTTATAAGCGGGTCAGAACAAGGATAAAGTGAGGGTGCTGCTTGCAGAAGCCAACAAAGGGGTGAAGGATAAACGAGCTAGTGTCCATATCTGTGAAAACATGACAGAGAGGATGTTCTGTCAGTACAGCTCTTCAGTTTTAAAGAATAAACAATTTTCTCTGCGGGTCAACAAATGATCAAATGCACTGTTAACCAAGGAACCCCTTAAACCCTTGTGATTGGACCACACAGTAAAACTGTATACAATGTAATGCATGGTACTCACTTCTGAAACTCCCACTCCCTGTTGTCCAGAGGACACACCTGTCTGGTCTTCAGCCAGCGAGAAATACAGTGGAAGTGGAAAGCATGCTGGAAAAGAGAAACAGTAGAAGGATGGTAAAACTACCTAAAAGAATTTTATTTAACAAAAATAACTTCTCTAGTGGAAAATCGATATTTTACTTCAGGTTTACAATATTTAAGTATCATGTATTTTATTTATTATTAGTCCTTTATTTATCCAGGCAAAAATCTCATTTCCAAGAGAGACCTGGCAATACTGCTAATACTAATTCTTTGTACTTCCACACGACAACAATCAAACTTTGAGGCACAACTGGAAAACAAAGAAATAGATCATGTGCGCTTAAAATAACAAAATGACCAGAGGATCAAGTTATCCCAGATTATTTAAAACCATTTTTAAGGATTTGGGAAACTTTAAAACCTTCCATTTAAATAGTGTTCATTGCATGTATAGTTCCTGCATATAAACCTGGCATGAGCAAGCTCTTATAAGCACAACAGCCTTGTGCAGGAAATTCCTATTAAAGTTCATTATGATCAATGTTGGGAAAATCGCTTCAGAAGTTATACTAATATTAATTTGTGTTTAACATGATTCCTCTCACCTTTATGGATCAGCATGCTGATCATTTTTGATAATGATATATCATCTGGAAGATCACCTCTGCCCGATACATAGAACTTCCTATATCTGCCCTTCCTGGCAGCAGAGATGATTGTTACAGGAGGTGCCTGTCATCGTCTTTTTAAGATCACTCCTTAGAAATCCTAATCTGACTTTGTGAATCTGCATGTTTTCAGTATGAATGCCAAATTTGAACAGGGAGCATCAACAACTGTCAGTGCTACAGACACCAGGGTCAGACTGTGAAGACTCAGTTCTACTGTGATATCCTGAGTTGTCCCAGGGAGATCATTCAGTAGAAACAACCTGAACTGTGGAGTGCAGGGCACACACACTTCCTATGACTTCCTCCTTTGTTCCCAAAAAATAATTTCAGACACCCATTTTCATCTTCTTTGCTGTGTGTGAGATTGGCTTTTGTTGCCAATCACACACAGCAAAGACAGAGAGAAAACAGAGAAAATCAAGTGGTCAGATCAGGATTTTTCTTCCACAGTGCAATTCAAACAAAGAGCAATGGTCTTAAAGGGGAGCTGAGACCATTTTGATCACACTGTACATGTTATATAGAAGCTTACATTGCAAACACCCCAGGCTACAGTGCACTCTTCAGAGGTTGCAGAAGCTTGGTTGGCCTGGCACTCTATGCCTAATGGGTGAGGAGGGAAAAGAGAAATGTGTCAACATAAAAAGCACCATATCACCTACAATGATAAGCAAACCTCATTTACTGTCAAAATGTTCACCAAAGAGATCAAAGACCAAAATGTAAAACTGAACTCACAGAGATCCATGATGTGGTTCCTACAGATAGCACAGTTGTCCACCACAATGTCCCAGGCCCAGAGCGCCACAGCATTCCACTGAGGGGGGAAAAATAAAATCACACAAATATATGATCCAAGATTCATAATCTGGAGATTATTTAATTTAAAAAATGTCTATATCCCCTTATTTGAACCACACGAGGGCCAGCAGTGCACAAACTGCTGTGACTTGAGGGGCACTTTTTGAGCTTAATAACAAACATGACATAAACATATGTTTTATTTAAAAATATATATTTTAACTTTGGTTCATTATGAGTGTCAAATGTCTTTTGATTTGAAAAAGAAGAAGCAAAAGCATCTCTTGAGTGTCTGTAAGAGGGCCTTATCCACTTCCCCATCCCAGAAACACGCCTGAGATGTTACTGTAAACTCTATAGAAGTCCTCAAATCATTAGAGATTTAAGGCATGGGGCCCTAAATATATCATTTGAGTCTAGCTTATTGAGAAAAGAATAGCATAAGAACGAGACACACAGTCGCCATCGAAAGCATGTCAAACGTGTAAACATTATTTTTAAATACAAAACAAAAATTACGTGTGATGTGTAGCTAGGCTAATTCCGCCGGGGTACCGTTTGAACAGCTGATGTGTTTCTGCCCATTACACCTTTGTTATTAATTCAGAGATATCTGTAAGGGCGTTGATTCTCGGCCCCTTAATGGGAAGTGCAAATTCGTGGGTATTCGTTACTAACAGCTACAAGCCTAGTGTCCTATGCCACAGTGACATAGCGCTAAAGTTAGCATGCTAGAGTTAGCTTAGTAAAGGCAGTGAGCGGCACTGAGCTATGATAGCGTCCATTGTTCACATTAGACAGCTTCTTAGTAACTCCCCGGTGAGAGACTTTTTACAGCCATACCTTCTTTACTTCAAATCGTTTCTTGCTTGCGCTATTAGTACCGCTCGGTGTATCCACGTCCATTGCTGCTGCCATCTTGAACGGAAGAGTATGACGTATGAGCCAAATCAGGCGGAAGAAGAGCGGCAGTTTCCGCCGTCGAATTTGAGAAATTTTAAAGCGTATTATATCGATATTTGACGGTGTAATGAAGACAGATCATAGTTATTTTCTTATATTTATTTCAAAAGCTAACAATGTTAACTTTCATGAACACAAAGCGAAAAGCTTCTCCATCCAAAACATTTAGGTTCCACCGAGATTTGAACTCGGATCGCTGGATTCAGAGTCCAGAGTGCTAACCATTACACCATGGAACCCCCACGACTAACCCTCAACTACAGCTCAGTATAAAGGTAGGTATCACAGACACAATGGTCTGTCATTTCCAATTAGATATAGTAAATTGTTAGAGCACAAATGTTGCTAACACTGCCAAGTAGTTTGAATTACTATTGATCTCCCATCGATGCTACGGTGATAAGATCAATACTTTGCTTCTATCCTATAAGTTCAGTTTGTAGCCCACTGAATTTTGGAATTAAAAAACTATAGCTCAGACATGCTGTATGAAAATATCTGAAAGATTTTGTATTTACCGTCACGTCTAGAATATTTAAAACCTATAGCACATTTAGATAACAGATGTTGACCAAAAGTGCTTAAAAGACAGGTCTAAAAAAAAAGAATAGTTTTAAAATAATTAAGAAGGTGAAAGATTTGTTTTGTTGTCGTGTTAACTAATTATTGTGGGAAATTAAAAAAAAAAAATCAAAGTGATTTTAGTGGTCATTAAAATGTGTTCAGAATTTGCATATTGATGACTATTTCATAAATCATGAAACACTGATCTCCCTTACATAAGCTGCCCTTATAGGCTAAAAATATTTGTATTGGTATAGGGAATACTGGCTTGATATCAGATCAATACCAACATTTGCAGTACTGCACATAACTAGCTGTGTTTGTCCGTTTTTGTTAGCTTTCAGTATGGATACACCCATAGATAAGATTTTTTTTTGGCTATGTGGTTCTTCTATAAACTACACTCAATTCCAATGTGGGATATTGCTGTGCCGTCTCACATAGGGACAATGTGGGATAACATGGCCTCGCTGATTTCACCTATAGACACTTGACGCTTGGCCTCTGTAAATTAGTATGTGCACCACTAAATATACATTTCTGTAATATGCATAGCAGTTGGGCTCCTCTAAAAATGCGTTGTTATTCTCTCTCAACAAACCTTTTTAGTGTTGCATTAAAGTATCCCTGCAAGAATGGTGAGAGATTGGCTGAGTGACTGTCAGGTTTCCTCTGACTTTTTGACTTTGATTTTTCGCTTGGATACAAAAGACTTGCATGGCTCAACATTTTAATTTAGAACCAAACAAATGTAGCTTTCAAGAAACCCAGCTCCTTAACACTCAGGTTTATTGCAAAAAAAGAGGAAAAGGAAAATGAGTTACATGTTCTCATTTCAGTATCTTCTTTTTCTTTGTTACTTTTGGTGGCCCAGGTTTTCTTTGAGGCTGCTTCCTGGGCAGTTTGGTGACTTTAGCTGTGGTCTGTGCTTTGACTTTTCGGGATTTCAAGGAGTCTGCTTTGGATTTCTTCACTTTTGGATATGCAGCACTCTTCTTTTCTGGTGGAGAAATGTTCTCTGGGCAGGACTTGAAGACGTGGATGCCCCGGACCTTCTGACCTCTGAGCTCAGGAGGGTGACCACAAGTTGTGGTCAGCTCCAAACTAACATTCTCCATCCACCTGAGCCACAGATACAAAGAGACAGAGTCAGTAAAGCTGTCAGTTCATTCTAACTGTAGTCCCAGGTAAATCTTACACCGACCTGCGCAGAGGAAGCAGAGAGCAGTCACAACGCAGTGGGTTGTCCTGCAGGTCCACAATCTCCAGGCCGGTGAGTGGGCTCAGATCAGGAAACTCCTCCAGCTGGTTTCCTCTCACAGTCAAAGTCCGCAGCTCTGAGGCCAGCCCCAGCAGTGCATCCTTGGAGATCTGCACAGTGGTGCAATACAAAGAGTTGAAAAGAAAATTCTTTATCTTGAACAAGCCCTCAGTGCAGTGAATAATCAGCACATATTTTCACATAAACAGTACAGTCACGTTTGGACTAGATATTGGAAACCTGGCTGGTGTTCAAATACTGACAATGCTGAGAAAACATAAACACGTTGCAAACGAACTTGTGATATTAGCTTAAAAGGGTCTCTCGTACCTTTTCCATTCCCATATGATCCATGTAAAGTCTCTTCAGACTTTTGGATAAGGGCTGGAAAGCATTTGGTCCCACCCAACGAACTGAGTTCCCAGAGAGGTTGAGCTCCTGCAGATTAGGGGTCTCAAGCAGAGCGTGGGTGGGCACCTCAGTCAGCTGATTTGAATCCAGGTGAAGGGTACATAGAGAGTCAGAGTCAAGAGCGCCCTTGGCAATGTAAGTTAAGTTGTTATTGCCCAGATATAACTCAGTAAGTTTAGAGCCCAGTGAGGACAGCAACCCACTGGTCTCAAGTTTAGAGATGGCATTTTGCTCCAGATGTAACACAACCAGACTTGGTAAGAGTGACAGAGCTAGAAGAAAGACACAGAACAGCCATGTTTTAGTTCCAGTGTTTCTTGTAGATAGTATCTACTGAGGCAGACTTAATGTAATTTTTCCACTGACCTGATCCAGGGAACTGCGCCAGCTTGTTCCTCTCCAGGTGGATGTAGGTGAGCTTGGGCACTCCAGCAAAGGCCTTGGGGTCCAAGGACATGAGGTCATTATCAGAAAGATACAAATACAAAAGGTTTTTCATCCCTTGGAGGGCACCACCTTCAATTTCATGGATTTTGCAGGACTGCAAGTGAAGAGAAACAAGTTGGCTGCTGCCTGGGAAGCTGTTGGCTGGAAGGTAGTGGAAGTGATTATCGTGGAGGTCCAGCAACTGCGTCTGGGCGGGGAAGCCTCGTGGGATTCTAGTATGGCCCCGACCCTCACATGTGGCATGCTGGGTCTCAGTCTAGAGAAAATCAGTTTTGAATGTGAAACCTGCAAAACGTCTCAGTGGAAATAACAAACAGTCATCGAGGAAGTACTCTGAGGGTTTACTTAATAGAATACCGACATATCACAGTGCTCTGAGACACTGATAAACATATGAGTAAAACAGCTGCCTTGTAGCATGCAGCATTAGCCTTCATTTAAAGGCCTTTGAAGCATTATTTGTGGTGTGCCAAAAATCTACCACTATGTTACCCATCTACCTACAGTGGAGTTTTAGAGCTTTCAACTCAATTTTATTCATATAGCATGGCCACTTGATCCAACCCCTAAATATATGCTTTATCAAAACCCTTTTAGCATAGCTCTCTAGCTTAAAACTAGAGAGGGTGTCTGCCTCCTGAATCCAAACTGGAAGCTGGTCCCACAGATTAGGGCCCTGAAAGCTGAAGGCTGTGCCTCCCATTCTACTTTTAAATATCCTAGGAATCACAAGTAAGCCACAGTCTGAGAGCCAAGTGCTCTACTGTGATTAGCGAAGTAAGTAAGTACAAGTGAGCCAAGTGAGAGTGTGGTAAAACAGCAAATCTATGAGAAACTGGAGTTTTTATTTTTTCTTCCTGCTTTCATTGTGTCCCAGAAGTGTTTTCTGTCTCCAACTTACATCACATTCACAGTTAGCTGGACACTTGACCTTCTGCTTTGGCTTGGCAGTGGCTGTGACCGTGGGTGGGACTCTTTCCGTACTCTCCTCCTCCTCCACCGGTGACTCCCCCCTCCTGCAGCGCAGATCCAGAGGAGACACCGCCTGCAGAGGCTCATCTGAGAGGTGAGGAGGTCCAGAGCAGGCCCCCAGCAGCTTCACACCACTAACTCTCGCCCACTGCCTCAGTGGAGACATGTAGCAGTTACAGTAGATGGGGTTCCCTTTAGAAAAAGTAAGAAATGCCTGTTGGTCAGCATGTAAAAATGACACATGGTATGCTATCACCCCCCTACATCTTTCTTTCTTGGCCTCACTATGAGACATGAGAAGTCAGATCACTTACATCTGCTGGTTTGGAAAAAATGAAAGCCTGTTATGTTAAAGTAAAAATCTGTGTCCAATAAAAAATATCAGAACACAGGCTTTACCTGTCAGGTTGAGGCTGGTGAGGTCTCTAGGGCCTGAGAAGGGCTCCACGTACCGAAGATGGTTGTGGCTGAGGTCAAGGTGTGAGAGGAGGGGGGCTTGAGAGAAGGCCTTGTCTGAGAGGTCCTGAAGGGACATGTGGCTGAGGTACAGGTGTGTAAGCTTTGCCATGGAAACGGAATCTTCCCCGAGGTAGACCATGGGGTTGTGGTTCATGTGCAGCCGTGTGACCTCACGGAGTCTTAACAGGTGGAGGACATGGCAATTTAAAATTGTCACTTAAAAGCTCACAAATTTTACTACATATATATATATATATATATATATATATATATATATATATATATATACATATATATATATATATATATTATTGACTTCTTTCTGAGTGCTGCTGCAGCTGAGGATTCAATGCTAAACACACATTAAAACACACATATCAATACGTCCCATAACAGTCGTCCAGGTTGTCCCACCTCGTCATTGTCTGTGTGGGGAAGAACTGCAGCTCATTGTGATCCAAGTCGAGGCGGCTGAGGGTGAAGAGCCCAGCAAACGCCTCAGGTGCCAGGTTGTTCAGAGAGTTGTGGCTAAGACGAAGAAACTTAATGTTCTGCAGCCCCTTGAGGAGGAAGAGGAGGAGAAGGAGGACCGTTGTGGAATCGCATTACCAAACACATCCAAAAAGATTATTAACGTATTTACCCATAATTTGGAGTACCTGGAAGACCATGTTAGGGATGTAAACCAGCTGGTTGTGGGTTATGGCCAGTGTGTTGAGGAAGCCGAGCTGTGTGAAGGCTCCAGGCTGGATCTCCTCGATGCGATTGTTGTCAAGTCGCAGCTCTTTCAGGGAGGAGAGACCGTCAAAGGACTCCTGCAGCAGTGAAAAGAAGAGAACATCATTCTCATAATAAAGACTCGAGAGGAAAAACTGCGGGCCTCTGATCTTACTTGGTAAAGGATTTCAATTTTGTTGTGAGCCAGGTTTAGAGAGACCACTCGGCCAAGAGTCCGAAAGGCGCCCTCTTTAATCTCGATGATGTTGCAGCGCTGCAGGTTGAGATGGGTGAGGTAGGGTGTGTGCATGAATGTCCCCCTGGACAGCACCTGCAAGTTGTTATTTCTCAGGTCGAGTTTCACAGTAATCTAGAGGAAACAATGAGTATTGGACACACAATTACATGCCAGGACGGAAACCAGAGTGAGGCTGGTTTATTCAGATAATAAGTCTGGTTAGCTAATCACTCTTTGGTTCTAAAATCACTCTCTCTTTTAGATGTTTCTGATGTTTCACTGAGGAGAAATCTTTGTCCTATAAACCTGTTTCAGTTCATCGATATTTCTGGGATGTCTTAATTGAAAACCCTTTTCAGGTCGTGCCAGAGCATCTCAGTCAGGTTAAGAGGAGAGCATTTGAAATTGTTATTGAAACACATGCACGCGCCATCCTTCAGAGTAAAGAGGAGAGGATCCATCCAGCTTGTTATCAACCCTCAGTTTAAAAAGCCTACATGTCTAAGATACAGCAAAACCCCTGAATTCCTCACCTCCTCCACAGTCGGGGGGGACATCTGTTAGGTTCTTGCCCACACAGGCTGTTGTGAGTGTGATGCTGTCACAACTGCAGGCTCTGGGACACTTTTTGGCTTCCACGGGTAAAGACAGTGTTAAAACAAGGAGGACGACTTCAGCAGAGAAGATCTGCATCTGTGCCAGTAACACATGTTAGAAATAGAATTACAGGAGTGGCTAAAGGCCCCGGGTTGGGAGACAGACACTAGACACACTAGTTCAAGTTATAAAGCTCTTCTGCACCTTACAGAAGCAAAACAACAGATTTGGGGGTCTTGAAACATGGATTCCTCCTCATTTAGTTGGATAAAGGACTCTGCTTTTCCTTTCATGTCTATAAAATATTTTTGAAGGATTGTCATGTTACCTAAGGTATCTTTAAGGAGGCAGAAGAGCTCTCCACGGTTGAAACCAGCATAGCCTTTTACTTTGTTTGATTTCCCCTGATCTCCCACAACTGGTTCCTGGTTCCCAAAACTCAACGGTTTGGCTTTAGCAACACATGGCACACATCATTTATCTGCCATTTTTAAAATATAGATGTAGCAGGTGATGATCAAAACTGATCGATACTCAATATCTTACACTATATAGCTTAACACTGAATGCTACCATATGAGAAATCTAAACTCCAAAGAAAATCCGAGTTCAAAACCCAGACTCACTGAAAACAAGCAGCTTGGCTTACCTTTAACCATATGGCTGTGCTATCAGTGTTTCCTTGGTAACAAGAATTAGAGATGGATTTAATCTGCCAGTTCGGGCTTTAAGTTGTTCACTGAGGGCTTTACTTCACTCTGAGTGTGCTCAGTACTTACAGCCTGTGGTCCAACAGGCTAACAAACAAGACTTTGGTAAATTCTTTTGTGGTGACCCCTGATCTTTGTGTCCTCTCTCTGCAAATTAACACACTGGCTTCACATTTTCTGAGGCACAAGAAGCGAGCAGCTTCTATTTGCTGACACATGAGATGAAATAACTCACTGCTGGTTTGGAAAAATCAAGGCTTTTAAATCTGAATGCCGGAGTTTCATCCATAAGCTTCCATTATAACCTTAAAAAAGCCTGCTTCATCAGGCAATAATAATTGTGTGAATGCCTCAAAGTATTCTGTTATTTCTGCTAATTCCGGCTATATCTTTTGGTATTTATTACTATTATACTTTTTAAAATATTACACTTTTTTCCTTTTGTCCCATTGAAATGAATGGAAAACTTCCACAATTCTGCTAAAACTTGCTTGTTTTTGAAACTTAACTACTTCCTCATACTTTCACGTAGAAACTCCATTCAAACTTTAAAATGTTCTCAAATTATTGGGCTTTTTATGTGTGATTCAGCTTTTTCATATGTGTTACTGTTTTAATTTAATGCCTCTTTAAGTTTTCAGTTGCAGCTTTGTGATTTTCCAGAAAATACATGCGTTGTTATGGTTGCTATGCAATTAACTCGGAGTGACAACTTGTCCTTTCTGAACTTTCTCTTCATGTCTGAACAACTTCTTGCTACTCACTCAATTTTCACTCAACCTCCACAAATTATACATCAAAACGTGGGGATTTTTGCTGGCTTTCAGAAAATGTCACTATCATTGTTGTGGAAGTTACAGATTTTTATCAGATCGCCTCAGAGCAACACAAAATCTGAAAACTCTCCATAGAAAGTCAATGGAGAGTTTGTTCAAAATCAGCGCTGGAACTCTTTAATGAGAGCCATTTTCAAATCGTCATATCTCCTTAACAAAGCAAAGTTAACAAATGAGGCTTGTGCCAATTCATCTTCAGACACTGCTGACACTCACGGTCGAAGCAGTTTTTACAGTCATCTTACCGTTGAGCCATAAATTACATTTGTTTGAGGGGTGGAAATCTGTCCTTTCTGTCCGCAGTGAAGGTTCAAAGTCTGCCGATTCACCCAGTACAAGTGACAGGACAAGTGCTTCTATCCCACCGAGTTTTACAGTAGTTACACAACGTTTTGTAACTCCAAAAAACGGCGCAGTACCTCTGATTGGTGGACTGAAATTGAGCAGAACCAGGTTGTTCTGCCTCTTTTCAGCAGAAATTTCAGCGTTTTCACCTCTTATCAGCACAAATCTCAGCCTCTTCTGCTGTTTTTATCAGAATTGTCAGCTTTTTTCAGTTACGTGAGAACCAGTTTGGCTCAATGAGTAGCTGAAAAATTGCAGCCTCTTCTGCTCTTTCAGAAGAATTTCAGCTTTTTTACCTCTTTTCAGCACAATTCAGCTTCTTCGGCCCCCTGCATATTTTTTCTCTCATCATATCTATTGTTGGGACAAGAACTGCTTTGGCTCAGTGAGATGAGCAGCTGCTGTGAGATCTGTTGGTGCAGGTTTGAATCCTACTTGTTGCTGTTAGCACACCTCTGCTTGCATGCACTCTGCTTTAGTGACACTGTTCAGTGTACCCTTTCAAATAAAGCAGTTTTCAGCAAAGAGTTCAGCTTCTACACAGTGTTTTCATCAGATAGTTCTCCTGCTGTTTTCAGATTCCACTGCAAGGCATTCACACAGCATTTTCGCAGGAAATGCAACTTTTTCTAGTTATTACTACCATTTCAACTTTTCTTTCTCCGTTTTGCATTACTGTAAAATCTGTATCTGCATTACATCTTTGGAGTTTAAAGTTTTGCTTTTTATTTTTAAATAAAACTCATTCCAATAAAAGCTCGGATGCTATCTGAAATATAAAAAAACCTAAGTGTAATGATTTGAAATGCTTATAAATCCCATTTTTATTCTGACTGCAACATTCGAAGAAGGAAAAAATTATTTGGGAAAGAGCCACGTTCACCACAACAGCCTTCTTCTTTTAACTGCAGCCAGGCCATTTCAGCACTGAACCTCTTCGCTAGGTTTAGCATCGTCTTGCTGAGATATGCAAGGCCTTTTTCTGAAAAAGACATTATCTGGATGGGAGCACATATTGCTCTAAAAGCTGACCTTATACCATTCAACATTAATGGTGCCTTTCAAATGTGCAGATTATTCTGAAATTGCTCCGTAAATTGTGGACAAGGTCTTTTGCCAGATTGGTTAATATATATATCCAATCACGTTACTGACCCGTTGCCAGTTAACCTGAATTTTCCTTCAGCTGTTTCAGTAGTTTCCCTTATCAGTTTAAATATTTAACATTTTCCATGTTTTATTGTGAATAAAATATGGGTTTATGAGACTTGCAAATCACTGCATTCCAGTTTTATTTCCTTTAAACAGCATTTTGTCTTTTTTGGAATCGGGGTTGTAGAAACTACACAGTCAGCTTGCAGACACTTAAAAAAAAACAACAACAACACTCAAATGAGCTTTATTTTTGCAACACAATTTCATCAACAACCGTCTAACCTGAAAATACATTTCAATTTATTTAATGCATTTTAATGTGGTATGTTACAGTCTTGTTTCTGCTTGTCAATAGATATTTTAATATCACAATTTGACAATATTTGTGAATATATAACAAATATTTGGTGTGAAACAAGAGAACAGCAAAGGTGAAAATTAAATAGAGAAGCCACAATAGCTGCAAGTGCCAAGTCCACACTGATCCTGGTTTACAGCTGTCATCTGTGGAGCGTGAGGCCTTTTCTCATTCACCCATATACAAAGAAGGTGAAGTTAAAGGTGTCAGTGCTGTCTGGTAGTTATTTGAACATATACAAAAGGCTTCAACAATTTCACACCTTCAGAGCTTTTTCTATTTCATAAGACATATTCAAGTTATGTCCGAAGTCCAGGGAAAAAAGGGGTTTTCTCAAGTGCTCCTCTTTTTTACTTTTGTGTTTGTGTGTGCTGGTTTCCAAAGGCCATGAATGATCAGTCTATGCGCACGTGTCCACAGTCCTCAGCTCTGAGACCGGACTCTCTGCAGTGTTGATTGGAGATTGTTTTTAGCATTTCCACATGACTCCAAGGTCTTGTTATTCCTAAGAATGACACGTGCAGATTGTACAATTATTTATCCTGTATTACAATTTTTTCATTAAAAGATCTGGAGATTTTCTAGGATCCCATGAAACACCCCAAAATCAACAATAATTATTTAATTATTAATTTTTTTATAAGTAAACTGCACCAAAATATTGCATTATATAAATAGTTTAATCAAGAATATAATGAATCCTCTCCAACACAAAAGTGAGATAAAACCAGGGCGAATTAATCACCATCTGTTTACGCACCTGGTGCAGAAGCATTTATGTGCTACGTTACTAAGGATAGGAAATAATGGCGTTTTGTACCTGGAAGCTGCCTTTTGATTGGCTCATTCTGTCACGTCCTTACCGGGACATGAAGGCCTCCAGCACAGCCACGCTCTCTTTGGGGAAGTAGTCCTGTCGAACGACATGCTCCAAAGCTTGGAGGTGGCCGGGGACCACAATCACAGGTTTCACCTTATCCTCGCTCTGAAGGTAGAGGACCAAAAACATTAGGGGGGGGGGGAGCAAACCAAAGACACATTTTGCAGAGTGTTTCATACCTTAATAAGTCCAAGCAGCACTAACAAAGATGATACAAAGCTGTAGCCTTGGAAGGAAGAGGAGGTGAAAGCTTTCCTCAGGAGCCCATCTGCAAGAGGAAAAACATCTTTACAAACAGAATTTTCAACACTGGAATAACACATCACTGACAACAAGTTTAGTTTCTCCAACTCCAAGCACTACAAAACACACATTTATGCAAAGCAAAATAAGATTTTTTTTTTTTTTTTTAAAGCACAACTTTCCATCCACCAATTTGTTTGTTGATGGGAAAAATTACAATAATATGAAAAAAAAAAGTGCAACGTGTGGGGAACGTATACATATATATATCGTTATATCTTAAGGTTAGCGTGGCTCTCTTGGATGGAAACAACTACCAGCATCTGAAGCTAATGATTTTATACTGCTTCATAAATCCATACACACCATGCTAGTGTAAAAACAATGAAAATAAATAAATAACATACATTTAAAAAAACAAAACAAAAAAAACAAAACTCTGGCACATACTGTATACAACAACAGAAACAAATGCCAGTTTTACATGTGGCTTTTGTTATAAATAAACCTTTAAGTGGATCTATTATTATAAAGCTCCACTTAAAATTTTTGACTCCGTATGAACTCGACAAGACCGGTGAGGACAGAAGCCCCGCCCACCTTCCGCACAAACCCTTTGTTTGCAAGTGGCAGCCAAACGTGAAAGCTGGCTCTAACCGTGATGAGCCAAAACCACTTTTTCCAGAGTAGACTGAGCTTTCTAATGACTTAGATGAAGTAAATTGTAGGATTATTTAAATAAAATTAAATAAAAATAATTTAAGAGCATTTTAAGCTTCAGCAATAGCTGAAAATGAGAAAACTATACTAATACTCAAAGTAATATGTGAAAAAAAGAAAAAGAAAGAAAGAATCAAACAGCTTAGCACAAAATAACTAAAATACACAAATGTCACACAAGTCTGGCATTTGCAAGATGACTCAACTCCACAAAGTGTCTTACCAATACTGTCCAACACTGCATTCTTCACTTCAGTATTATCCTCCTTGTACACAGATGCAATCTTGAGGAAGGCTTCAGCTGTTTTTGTAGCGTCTGAAACATCCACCTGGGCCCAGAAGAAGAAATGTTTACACACTAAAGAACTGCTGGATCTTTGCATAGGATTACAAGTGTGTTTTAATGTCACTGGAGATTTCTTTGCTACCTGCTGCTCAATAAGCAATGCTCTCGTGGGGCCCAGTTTAAGCAGTTTGTCAGGGGAGGGAAAGCTGAGGAAGGAGGAGACTTCTGGGGGTCGAGGTGTTGACTGTGGGGTGGAAAACTGTAAGAACAAGGCAAAAGGAAAAAGTCAAAACACAAATGTGTGCATATGATCACAGCTAGTGTGGATTTTAGACTTCCTGTCACCTATTCAGTACAGAATGAGGCTTCTGTTAGACATAATAGTGACGTCCCTCAATACTTTAACATGTTAGTCATCATTTGGATTCAATAAGGCCCATATCTTACATATATCCTACTTAGAACTAGTGTATATTTTTTTCTTATACAGTGGGGCAAAAAAGTATTTAGTCAGCCACCGATTGTGCAAGTTCCCCCACTTAAAATGATGACAGAGGTCAGTAATTTGCACCAGAGGTACACTTCAACTGTGAGAGACAGAATGTGAAAAAAAAAATCCATGAATCCACATGGTAGGATTTGTAAATTATTTATTCGTAAATCAGGGTGGAAAATAAGTATTTGGTCACCTCAAACATGGAAAATCTCTGGCTCTCACAGACCTGTAACGTCTTCTGTACGAAGCTTTTCTGTCCCCCACTCGTTACCTGTATGAATGGCACCTGTTTGAACTCATCATCTGTATAAAAGACACCTGTCCACAGCCTCAAACAGTCAGACTCCAAACTCCGCCATGGCCAAGACCAAAGAGCTTTCGAAGGACACCAGGAAAAGTATTGTAGACCTGCACCAGACTGGGAAGAGTGAATCTACAATAGGCAAGCAGCTTGGTGTGAAAAACCAACTGTGGGAGCAATCATCAGAAAATGGAAGACATACAAGACCACTGATAATCTCCCTCGATCTGGGGCTCCACGCAAGATCTCATCCCGTGGGGTCAAAATGATCATGAGAACGGTGAGCAAAGATCCCAGAACCACACGGGGGACCTGGTGAATGACCTGCAGAGAGCTGGGACCAAAGTAACAAAGGTCACCATCAGTAACACACTACAACGGCAGGGAATCAAATCCCGCAGTGCCAGACGTGTTCCGCTGCTGAAGCCAGTGCATGTCCAGGCCCGTCTGAAGTTTGCCAGAGAGCACATGGATGATACAGCAGAGGATTGGGAGAATGTCATGTGGTCAGATGAAACCAAAGTAGAACTTTT